TGGGATTAAGCAAGCCTTTAAATGTTTCTTAGGAGCTGGAAAGTGGAGGTTATTATCCAAAGAATCATGACAGGAATTCAATAACAGGCTTTTGTCCTGTGAAATTTCACTCTTCCCATAAGGAGCCTTCTGTTGCTACTATATCCCTTCCAGTTCCCTCTTCTCTCTCTACCCCGCTGTTCCTCTTGGGGGGGATCAGTTAAAAGCATAATACTGGGAGTAGCAAGTGCTGAGGATTCTTCTTGAATGTAAAACAGTATTATGATACAGCTCATGGCAGTAGAAGATCTCAGGTGCTCATGGGCAGTGAGGAACTAAACACACATCTAACCAAACTGCATCCATGCTCTATTTAAACACAACCCACTGAAGGCTTTGTTATAATTTAGTTGTCAGGGTTTTTGAATGACATTGAGAAAATAATCAGCGCTCTAATCAGTGTTGAAAACAATTGCTAGTTTCAGCCTTAATCAATCAATTTCTCTTAGAAACAGAATTCAAGTTCAAGTTGAAGGTGCTTTTTATTTTGGCCTCTGTTTAATAATTCAAACATTTGATTGGGTTTGTCAGGCAGTTTAGTAATTATGCTGCTTATTCTGAATATGTCTACTATTAACAAACCTATTTGGTTTTCAGGACACAGATATCATGTAATGCTTTCAAATTAGTCTATCACACTGATCTCTCTCTCTCTCTCTCTCTCTCTCACACACACACACAAATAAAACATGTCATCTGTATAACATTTTGCTGACATTGTTCCTTTTTGAACTCACATAAGCACAATGCTGCTGTGGAAGAAAAGGTCCTGACTGACAGAGGACAGGATGCAGCATCCTTTGTTTCAGTTGTAATTGCACATAACAGCATTGTCAGTGAAAGATGCAAATACATTTAGATTGAAGACAGAAAATAGAGAGTAAAAACAGCCGACTTTCTTTCTGATCCCCCTCTCAGCTTCACATGCACACACACTCACACACACACTTGGCAGGACTCTGCATTGTTAGAGAACTTCAGTATAAAGATTTAATGAAACTGTAGGAGATGTCGTCTGGTAGAATTGAAATGTTTAAGTGTTGCTAATTTTACAGCTACAGCAGGTAGCAGGAAGTGGGAGTTTCCTGTTGTAATCCCAGTGTCAGTGGTGTTCTTCCTGCCTTCTTTGTCCCAACAATTTCCCTGAAGCATCAATGCAATGTCTCTGCATGATGTAAGTTTTGCATAACCCATGAGCTGCTAATGTGAATGGCTGTGGAAGCTGTAAAAGTGCAACAAACAGGGAGGCACAGGGTGATGTGAAGATGGCACTGAAAACAAGGAAACAAAAGAAGGAAGAAGGAAGAAGGAAGAAAGGAACTTAATCCATGAGGGTGCTATGCCATGTGTTGCAAGCATTGTCCCAGCTGTTCAGACAAGAGCAGTGGTCCTGGAGGTATTCAGGGGAACTCAGTTCACAGAGTACACTGCAGGTAAGGCGATTCTGGTACCAAGCAGCATTGGAAGGATATGTCCTGGAGGAAACCAGGATTGAGGCTTAATTTAACATGTAAGAAAACAGTGGTGCTGACATAGATTTCATTTTACAGCCCCCACCTACTCACACTCAACTGCTCTCTCGCTCTCTCTCTCACTTAATTTCACACACTCTCTCTCTTCTGTAGCTATTTGGCAGCTACACACACATTTACAAAATGTGATGTAACAACTCCCTTGAGCTGTAATTCAGGGCAAACATCTATAATGAAGGTCTAGTAAGAAGAAACACACAAAAAAAGTGACTATGCTATCAATCAGCCACCAGATCTGAATGTTATAGGATGTATGTGTATGTGTTGACTGCTGTCATCATATGGTTACTTTCAGGCACATCTATTCTACTAGCATCTGTATGCTTGTATGCACATATAACCATCACAGAGTACAACCCGGAATTCCATCTGGCTGATTTGCATGTGTGATGTTTTGTTTCCACTGATGCATTTATAACTGCTAAGGGAACCTCCCACGCTGTGTCTGAGACTGCTCACTATTTACTGTATGGTCAGTATAGCCCACTATGTGTTCCAAAAGATCTGCTCCGGAACAAATTAGACAAGAGGCCAGTCGGTTTTCATGGTGGGGCCTATGTTTAATTACAATCAGTTTTAGAAAGTATGCATTTACTCAAGTGCTGTATTGAAGTACAACTTTAAGAGAATTATACTTTAGTATTTTCAATTTATGCTGCTGTGCTTCATTTCAGAAGGAAACATTTTATCTGATAGGACATCTATAGTAACTGGCTACCTTTAGTTTACATATAAATCATATCAATTTTCTTTGATCAGCTTCTAAAATATTAAACATTACAGATTAAAGATACTGCACACCTACTTACTAAAGTAGTGATGTGACTGTGGGTTTGAAACAGGAAACATATAACCACAACCAGTAACTGTTGCACCTGTCATTATTAATACAGCTGCTAGGTCTCTTATTTATAACATGTATAGTATCTACAGTACACACCAAGCTGACATTAAAGAACTAGCGGCGACATAGGCTGACTGTCATGTGCTGTGCAGATGGAAAACTCTAATCTGTAATATGCGTGCAGTATGAAAGAGATTACCTGGTAGTGCCAGAAACTGCTTTTTGACTTCATCCACGTACATCTCCCTAATTAGTGAATAAGTTAGTGTTTTCAGACCCACACATCATGGGTTTATGAAACCCCCCCACCAAAAATATCCCCAAATTCAAAATATATAGTCTTTATGTTAAAACCACTGCAGCTCTCACTGAAGATACAGTTTTCACACACAAGTGACAGACTGCATAAAAACATTTGCATATTCTAGAGCTGGGCTCGTGTCCTTGCACAGCAGCCAGAATGTCCGATCAGAAAGGTTTCAGCTACCAAACAGCCATATTAGCAAATCAATAGGACCCACTTAATGTGATCTTTGGAGCAGGTTATGACCGTGTACGAGAATAGATCTCTGTTGCTGACTCTTGACACTGTCTGCATCATAGCAGTTACAGATCATGCATAGACATTTGTAAACATATCCAAAATGTGTGGTTATTACCATGAACATGAGTCAGATTTTTAAACTATGAATACATACACAGACAATGCATCTTCTTTAGAACCACATATAAGTGAAGCAGCAGGATATCAGTGCATTTCAGGACTTGTAATTTATGCACACCACAATAAGGAGTACAATGAATAGAAGAGAAAGAACAATAGTGCTACTGTCTGTGGACAAATAATGGATAAAGGCTGGCATCATGTAGCTGTAGGCCTGTAGCCTGTGCTGATGTGTACACATACAGTCAGTGATACAGTGTCATCTAGTGGTCAGAAGAAAACTACTGGGTTAATAGAAGATATTTAAGGAATGGACTTAAAGTTTCTCTAATTGTTGGGTCGACTAGAACTGCTCTTCCTCAGAGAAAGCAAAGAGACAAATAAGAGTTGATTAGAGATGGTATCATCAACATGCCCACCTGTAATGGCTAACTCCTGGCCAATGGCAGGATAATCAATATATTACTGTTCCATTTCAACTGGTTAGTCAATGTGCAATTATAAGGAAACGTTTGTTCTGTTTATTAAATGAGCTGTACTTTACAAACAAAGTAACTAAATTTTGTTTGGCAAATAGCAAATGTTTGCCCATTTGTAACATGGAGTAAAAATGGACTACACACTCATGTGTCAAACTACCCAAACTGGAGGAAGAAGAAGAAGAAAAAGAAGAAGAAGATAAAAAAATAAATAAAATTAGTAATAAAATCTAGAACAAAAACAAAGGAGTCCAACACCATTGGTGTTTGAACCCATAACAAACAAAACTGGAGTCGACGGCCATGTGAGCAGCCATAAGAGGTGATGCTTTGGTTTTGAGCTAAATGCTAACATTAGCATGCCAACATAATACACAATGGCACCTTATCCTATTCACTACCTTAATTTAGCTTGTTGGTCTGCCAATATTAACTTATTATCACTAAACACAAAGTATAGCTGAGGCTAAATTAGGTTAAATTAGCATGTGGACAGTCATAAACCAAAATATTGGACAAGCTAAAATTTGACAATGCTAGATTAAAGGTCTAGCACAAAATGGATCTAATTCATCCAAAGGGGTACATGAATGTTTACAAAATGTCACAGCTATTTATTGAATTATTGTGGACCAAAGTGACATTTCCATCCCTTGAGCCACTGCTAGCGTGGCTACAGATACTTTACACTGTGAAATATGGGCTATGACATGGAGAAGGTTGTTTGCTTAACATGCTGATGTCGGTGTCATTCCTTTTGCTTGGTTGTGTGCCAATAAAAAGAAGAAACTGTGCGATGAATTCCAATGTGCTGATTTCTTTCATCTTTTTGAATTAATCATGATTGATCATTCATCAGAAAAAAATTTAATAGCCTCAAAAGCACCAGTGTGTGCAGACACCTGTTCATTTGTCATTCAGTTCATAATACTTAAATTTATACAACCAAAAATTAAGAAAGGAACAATTTTAACATGAAAACAACACACAAAAATAGTTTATGAAAATATTTTTAAAAAACTAAGAAAAACCTTTTTGTTTAAAGCAACATCTCTATACATAAACGTTAACTGAAGGCAATAAGAAGGATACAGCCTTCTGTGACAAAATCATTGTGGTTACAGTTACTGGCCTATAGGTGGCAGAGAGATAAAACTTTAATTATTCTGTCTGATAAAAGTTGAAAAAATAAGATTTTATAAAGGTATTCACACACACACATACAGACAGAGAAAAGATACCAAAAGATTTTGCAGTTGGACAGAGGGATCCATTTTCAAACTGGTCATGTTTAGGAAGCAACAAGATTTTTTCAAAAGCTTCTTTTACTCTTTGCTTTTACTTTTTATGTCTGTCTGTGTGTCCATCTCAGAAAACAGCAAACAGCAACGTTTCCAGTGAGCTGAACAGTAAATGTTGGATGGTTTGAAGTAGTTTCATCCTCAGACCATGAAGGACTGAGTTTGTTTGTAGTGCTTGAGCTGTGGAGAGCAGACAGAGACGTATAATGAATCATTTAGTTATCTAGAGAGCAGCGTTAGCAGCAACTGATCAACAGCCGAAATTCATGGCAGCAAGCAAAACAAGCCCTGACACAATAATGATCACTTTGATCACTCACGTTGCGGGCGGGAGGAGGAGGAGGAGGAGGAGGAGGATTGTAGGACTTGGTGCTAAAAGACAAATGACAAAAGGGTTGTAAGTTCAGTCTGAGTTTGCTACATGCACAGGCAACAAAGAGAAGTTAGACTGAAAAGTGAAACACACCTTTTTGTTTTCTTGTCCTCTGGTCAAAAAAACAACAAAGGAGAAAAGGTCAGAAAGTGCACAGTCTTTTAGCAAGTTGTGTTTGTCATTACTGGGAAGTGGGGGGCAGGTTATGGTTTAAAGTTTTGCTCTGCTTTATATGCACAACTCTGGTTTGCTTGCTACGGAAATTAAAAAACTACCTCATGCATAAAAAATATTCCCTCTGATGTAAAACTGCAAATCTGGTTTCCCAAGATGCATTTGTGTTCAGTGACTCAAACAAAGAGACAGCTTAAGAAACAGGACCGAACTCTACATCACTGCATACTGGAGGAATTATTTTGCATCAGCAGGACAGACATTATAAGATTAACAGACAATACTAACAGACATGCCAGGATCAAGGGTACTCCCATTTTCTTGAATGTGATTCAGTTTCATATATCAGTACAAATCAATACAAAGCTCTCTGTCACAGACACAGAATTGCAGCACACTACTCACTCTTGCAGCAGCCTCGGCGTCGGCACACGCACACACAAACGCAGCAGAGAAGGATGAGCACCAGAAATCCTGCACCACCTGCTATTAAAATTGTCATATTCAAAGGATCTGGAAAGTGAAGAGAGAGATTATTTTCTCAGTCTTTGGGGAGTAGAATATAATATGTAAGCACAGATGAGCTGCTTTACCACTTACATTCAATAACTTTCAGCTGTTGGGCCACACAGCTTTTGGGTGCCCCCACACTGTTGGAGGACTCACAGCGGTACATCCCTGCATCTGTTTTGGACACACTCTTAAACTCCTGCTCCAGAGAAACAATGACCAAGTGAGAGGGGAAACAGCAGCATGTCTGTGTGTTTTAGCATCTTTGTGTGTACATCAGTGTTTAAATGTTTTAAGGTGTACTCACCAACGTGCCCTTGTTTGTGTCGACGTGGTACGGGGTGTCTGCTGAGGCTGTCAGTGCCTTATTGTCTTTGTACCAGCGGTAGGTGGCGGGAGGCACACTGAGCTTGTCCTTACAGAGAAGCTCCAGGCCAGAGCCGACAAATACAGAGCTCGGCACCTCGCAGGCTGGGACATGAGGAGGCACTAGAGAAGCGGAAAGGAAAGACAGCTCGAGTAGAAAGTGCAAATGATTTATAACACGTATGATTTCTACATTGTGGGACTTAACACCTAAATATTATAAAGCAATGTAATGATTTTTTTTTGTTGCATCAGTGCACAGATTATAAATCATGTAAACTCAAAGCACTTATCTGCTACAAGAAATAAATCAACTTACTTTGGCTTCAGCAATACCTGATATGCACAGATCTACCTCCTTTTCAGCAAAAGCAGAAAAGCTGAAACTGTCACTGCTACTACAGTTCCACTGTATTTCATTATTGCAAAAACAATACAAAATCCAGTATTGCAATAAAGCAATCAATGATGCTCTGCAATGCTCAAAAACACGCACAGGTTTCCCATCATACCGAGCACATCAAGGTTTACTGTGGCCTCTCCAAGAGTCACGTGGTCCTCGCTCGCAGTCACCTCACAACGATACTCCCCTGAGTCTTTTTGGGTAACAGAGTGTATCGTCAGTGTCGCTCCTTCTATTTTTGCTCGTCCTGCATAAGACCCTACAGTGGAATGTAATGGAGAAAAAGGAGTAACCGAGTCTCAAAAAAATAACCCATCAAAGGTCATAAGGATGAAAGAATGATGACAAGGAAGCAAAATACCATTTTTTTTTATTCAGGGGAGGGAAAGGAATGTAGCTGGTAATGTCACTCACCAGTAAATTTATGATTAAAATACACAAAGGTCACGCCCTTTCCTTTTTTCTTCCACTCAATACGAGGGTTCTGATCTTTCTCTGTCTTGAACTCACAGGCCAGCACTGCGTCTGAGAGGGCAGAGAGCAGCAATGATTTGTGCTGGGTTTGTCACAACTGTGTCCTCATGAAAACTAATCAGCATCGAGTAACGCTGGAGGTATTGATGAGATTTAAAGGACAGTGCTGTTTTTTTCTCATGTCCTGCATTAGTTTTGTCAAGTTTTTAGCATAAAATATCAGATGTTTTCATTTATTTTGGTTGATTTCTGAAGAAAATCATCTGAGATATATTTTGTATTCTCACTAGTGATTTGTTTTAAAGTGAGAAACACAAGCGGATGTCATATGTAAATTCAATATTCCTGTTTTAACATGTTCCTAAATGTAGACTGGAATATGATTTATATTAACACCCATCACCAAGACCTGTCATTACTATTCACATGGGGTTAGACTGTTCTTTAAAGTCGTGGTAATTTTAAAAACAAATAAATGATATTTTGAAATTTTTATTTATGAATGACAGCCCTGCACCATCTCACCTGTGTGCTCGTGGACCTCTACTCTGGGTTTACTGCTGCTTACTGTGACTGACAGACAGACAGAACCTGCAAGAGGGAGATGATCAGCCTACTGTTATCAAAGGTTGAACAGCTTTACTCTCAGGCCACCAAGTACAACAATCTCAGCATCCTTTTCTGATCACATTCATGGTGAGAAAGAATAATATCTCTCTGTATTCAACATGTAAATCTAGAGTTTCAGATTAAAGGCCTGACAGGAGGAAGTGCAATCAAAGACCAGAAGTGTAAGCAGACATGAAAACAGGACAAAGAAGCACATGTGGATCAATCATAGGCTGCACACTAGTCATTGATTCACACTAAAATACACACACTCTATCTCCACAGAAAAAAGTACTCCATTAATTTCCCATGACAGAATATGTGCATATGTGCCGTGACACGTGTTTGTCTGTAGTGAATATTTACTAGCCAACTGATTTCATACTTTGCACATCACAACACAAATATAATTGTTAGAACAGTGTCACATTTTATTAAATAGCCATATGTAGCTGAAGAAGAAGGTGGCACAGTGTGTTTCTTTTTATTGTGTATGAATCCTGTTGGTAACCCCTCTCCTTAGAGACATTTATCCTTTGACGCTTGCATTGCTTTACATGTACATGCAATAAAAGTCTTGAATTGAGAAACATGAACTGATAGTTTTATTTAATAAACTCTTATTGATGAAATGCATTCCCCAGCACCTAACTGGTACACAATTCTCCCCAGAGCCTTAAAACCAAGTCGTGAGGCCTAAACAAAATGTCCTCATTACATTGTTTTAGAACTGAAATTGGTCCTCACAGAGATGGCAAAAGAAGCTCATATACACATGGGTATATAGTGTATAGCTATGTCCTAGTGGTGCCAGGAGCGGTGGTGTGTAGGAATGCAGGTGATGGATGAGTGTCTGGCAGGCCCAACCTGATAACCTCTCTTAGTGGCCTGTCCTTCAATAATGCAACACACACACACAAAGGGAGAGAGAGGGAGCAGACACTTTCAGAAAAACACAAAACCCATACCACAAAAACTATGTTTACGTTTTTTCCATCTTTAAAAACGGAAGATGTAGTTAACTTGACTTTATGTTAGTTACCATACATTTGACCAAAAACCAAGTTTCCATGGCAAAAAATTGTTTAAATAAAGCATCTTAATAAAATAAGTAATAATACAACAAAACAGCCATATGTCATATCACACTGATGAACAGATTTCAGACATTCATTCACACTGGCCTCAGCTGTTGTTACCTGTGAAAGACATAACCTCAGACATTCAAAGCTACAGGGGCAAGTGACAATAACATATGTAACTGTAGATCAGGGTTCCCTTAAAGGGCTTTTACTTGAGAACCATTAATGCATTTTTGTTCTTTGATTGTATGAAGAGGGAGGGACAAAGCTCAAGTAGGAACACTTTCACTGTATGTATGTGTATATGTAATCGAGCGTGCATGCTTTTCTTATGCAGACAAAGCAGTTCTTTATGAAGGTAACCTTACACTCCTCAGCTGGCACCGACATCTGTATTACACACATGTGAGGATCTACATTGACTGAACCCTTAACCCTAAGTTTTGCTTTACTTTGACCTTCAGCCTAATCTAAAGCTAATTATGATTTTAAACATGAATCATTGCAATGAACTAATCTTCATTTGTGTAAACAGAAAACATATTGGAACATAAATGCAATGTACGATGCAATCAAATGTTTGTTCATATAATGTATGTTCACTATATTTTCCATAATACCTGTCAGTGATGTTTTAAGTCTAATGTGCCTCTAACATGTTTTTGTTGTGTTTGAAAATCAGTAAACCTGCTGCACCAGGCCACTTGAATCATGAAATGTTTGAATCGTGAACCAGTGAAATTTTAGAATAACCTGTTAAAAACATGTTATCATAAATTTGTTTCTACATAGCACTTTGTTGAAGACTTTTAGCATTAACACTATTATGGTGTTATTAAAAAGGTTGCTAACAAAGTGTTTAAACCCCGAAAAAATTCATAAATAAACAAATAAACTCACTGAGCAATAACGTGACGAGAAGAGGCAGCACTAAAATCTTCACGGTGTTCATGTTCAGTCAGGTTTTAGCAGTTCAAGTCCGTCCTGGGGTCTCTGTGCGTCCACAGAGTCTGGATGAAATCAGTTTCACTCCAAACTCTCTGCAGCGTCTTCACGTTTCATCTGCAGCATTCATGTGCACGTTCACATACCCTGGCCAACTGACCGAGAGCACGCACAGGCGGGTGAACTGCTGCTGCTCAGAGAGACCACCAGCCTATCAACAGGTGGAGCAAGCACAAGAACTATGACCTTACATTTTGACATGGATCTGTACAATACTCCATAGCACCAAACAGACACACAGACACAGTTAGCGACTACCTGGTGAGCACAGTGCAACGTTTAGCAGCTTACATTCTCAGCACTAAAGGAGAGTAAATCTTGGACGTGTGTTCTTTAGGCAGCCAGAAACATGACCTCAAATGAAATATAATAACTGCTGGTTGTAAGAAGCATCCCTTTAGATATTCACTATATCAACTAAAAGTGATAATATGACAGTGTTGTGTTTTCTCTCCCCATGTGACCAAAAATTAAGTTATTGCAGGTTTAGGAACTATTTTGTGGTAATTTTTTAATGTACATTTTGTGATACTTCAGAGGCACATGGTGCGCAATTATTGTTACTTTAGTACGAAATATAATAATGATCATCTCATCAATTATGATATATTCTTATCAGTTAAGCTGCTGAAAATATATAAAGTCAGTAAACTTACGGGTTTATCTTGACCAGCTGCAGCATCATAAATGATAGTTTGTGGGACTATACTGCACATTCAGTACTTTACTTTTACTACTTTAAGTGTTGGTACTTCTGTATTTTAGTCGAGTAAAATTTTGAATGTTGGACCTAAATGAGTTTTTTGTTTAGTTTTTTGTTTTTTTGTACTTTTACTTAAGTAAACAAAATTTGAATTCTTCCACCACAAACCAACACAATATAAAATAAAATCTCATCAAGTCAAACAGTTAATTTTAAAAGGTCATTCTAAAAACTACATACAAATTAGACCTAGGATAATAAGCTGGTTTTCCATAAACCATAGTTTGGCCATCTTAAAACTGTGGTGGTTTGAACTGTGTTTAACGTGCAAACTGTGGAAATTATTCCACACCACACTGGCACCAGAAAACCTAAAGGTACAAGATCTATGTTGGAAAGAAAACTGATCATGTTTCATTCATGTTTTGTTGTATTGCATTAAACTCTTAAACTGTAAAATACAGAAGGTGTTGCTGTTGAGAAAACTTGATCTTCTATAATTAAAGTATATAAGTAAATGTAATCCACCACCTTAAGTTCAGAGATGAAAATCATCACAGTTGGAGTTGTGAGTTTACCACTTGTCACCAGTGATGACTGTAATGGCTGTTGTGGAGACAAGGCAGCTGCTGGTGGAGTTACTGTGTCCTTGGCTATTAGGTTTCTGTCCACCTGCGCCCACACAACAGCACATTGTCACTCACTCTGGTTAATGTCCACACATGCTTACATTTGTGGCCATATGCACTCAAGACACACACAGGGACCATACGTGCAGACACATGTGCATAAACGCACAGAGAATAAGAGTGAAACACTAACTATGAAGAGCTCAGCTGCAGCACCTGTTCACACTCAACAGTCCCAGCTGTTCTGCTGTGAACAGGACACACTGATGTCACCTAACACACTGGAACACAGTTGCACACACATCCATAACAACACATTGCTCACTTTACACAAACATGTTTTACATGAACAAACTCCTACGGCTCTTATATCAACAAGCCATACATGAAGATGACAGCAGGTTTATTTGCCAGCTAGGATTATACCTGAATTACACTGAGGTTCATTTTGTTGATTCTAGTCCTCCTGTACTTTAACACTAGTTCAAAGCTAAAAGGCTCTAATTGTAAGTGGCCAACAGAAGAAAATGAGGAAATGCCTTTTTAAAAAAGGGAAGAACACAGACTTTAATGAAAAAGGGATGTGACTGTGGACATATTACAGCAGAATCATCCACTCTCACTTTCAACATGCTCTGCCATGAGATATGAAAGCAGAAATAGCTAAAAGCTAAATAAATATCCTACACTGTACAGTGTGGTCCACCTTCCTCTTTGTTGGTGTGAACTACTCCTGACAAGCAGTGAGAGAAGAGATAGGTGGCCACTTGTTAGCAAAGCAAGGCTCAACACAACACAGGTTTTCAGAGGAACATGTCAGAAAACTACTTGTCAAATTAGAAAATCGGGACTTATCCAAAAACCAGTAAAGCTAGATGACTGAACTGAATATATATTCATGCATTCTCATAGATTAAACACTAGCTCCTGTGCACTATGGGTATTTTTAAGAATTCACCACTCTTGTCTGGAGAGTAAATATTTTATGGTGTAAAGTATGGAAAAACAGTTCATTGTCATACAACAAGTCAAAGTCAATATTTTGTTATGAGAATTACGTTAACTATTTCTTTTTTTTTTTTTACCTCTTTCAAAAGTAGTGTCTCTGTTGTTAGCAAGCATATCCATTGCAGTTTGTGCATTACTTTCCACCTATACTGTTATAACCTTCTTATTTACTGAATTAAAATTCAAATGTTAGTAAACAAGCCCTGCGCTGGACCGGCGACCTGTCAAGGGTGTATCCCGCCTCTCGCCCGCAGCTGGCTGGGGTTGACTCCAGCCCCCGTGAACCCGTTTGGGACTAAGCGGTATAGAAAATGAATGGATGGATGGATGTTAGTAAACATGATCTATACTCTCATCATCTGTGCACACATTTGGCCCTTGAACCCGACGCACATGAAAATAGTATGCTTATTAACCTCTGTATCCTGAGAATGATTCTTATCTGTGTGGAGGAATAGTTATATCAGGCCTCTTTGTTTGCATATTGTCCAGTTGTGTATTTCTTTGGAAAGACCTTGACAGTGTAAACTTTCTATCCCATGACCAAGCTCATGCAATATGGAAATAAAAGAAATATGGGCTTTGGCAAGATAAGGTAACAGGAAGGCCCTGCTTTAGAAATGAACTGAAAGAGAGTAGAAATAAAAAGGGGCAATGCTGTCAAATGTCACATTTGACAGAAAATCACAGTCTACATTCTAAACAGCTGTGTGTAATATTATGCATGGTTTTGAACAAGTATGTGTCTATACCGGAGTCAATCTGAGCTTGAGAAAACAAGTGGACATTATTTACTGAAACTGTGTGAGTGCTTCTGTCTGCAGTTGTACAAGATTTTGAATAGAAATGCTAAACACCACACATTTACTCTTTTCAGATCTTTTCAGTTCTTTTAAAGTGTCTTGAAGAATAAAAGTAGGTAGATAGTCAGGTTCAGTTTGAATTGCACAGTAAAACAAAAATGCATTTTCATAAATAATAAGACTTTGAGCCTCACACAGATTCAGTCAGGTCCTATCCCATATTTATTGCATTTCAGCTGAATACGAACATGATCCGGTCTACTGTATCTGTATTATGAAATAACAGGTGCAGGCATGGATGGATTCCTGAACAGGCTCAACGGGCACAGACAGGTCAGGGCAGCTTTGTGCCAGAGCCTCTGTTTAAACTTGAGCAAAACAGATTGGAGTAAAAAAGATGCAAAAGAGGCGACAGAATCATGTAAAACAACTACAAAAAGACATGAAATAACCAGAAAAATACTCAAAGACTACAAAGTGATGAAAAACAACCACAAAGTGACACAAAGCAACAACAAAATGATGTAAGACTAAAGAGAAGGGATACAAAATATAGGTATGATGTTTGTAGTTGTGTCTCTTTCTATCTGGATGTCTTCCTCCTATAAAGCAGGTGAGACAGGCTTTTTACATGTCTCTGCCTGGGGGCCCATTGTCTTATCATTTGACAGTGGGTGTGAGTAAGATGTTTTTTTAAATGTTCTTACTTTTTTACAGTGGTGCTGGCAATTCCCCTGCTTCCTCCTGGTTTGTCCCAAAGTCCTGGTTTGACTAAAGAACAGCAGAGCCCTCTGCTGGGAGACTGGGTTCCTGTGCAGGGCCATGTGGTGATGGAGGATTCTGCACCACAGGTCAGGCTGGGCTCCAAAGACCTGCAGAAATGAACAGCTCCGCTAACAGTGGGCAGGGAGCGGAGCCAGAGCGCGGTGGAAATTAGAAGTTAAAGTGAAGTCAGAAGTTAAGGTGGAGCAAGAGGGTGAAGTAAAGACAGAGGTCAAGATAGAGCCAGAGCTCTAAGCAGAGTCAGAGGTGAAGGTGGAGCAAGAGGGTATGGTGGAACTATAGGTTAAAGTAAGGCCAGATGTTGAGGCGGAACAAACGTTTAAACCAGAATTTAAAGCAGTGCCAGAGGCTGAGATGGAGCCAGAACTTAAAGTTGATTGTGACTTTAAGGTGGAAGAAGTACAGGTGGAACCATACATTCAAGAGGAGACAGTGCCTAAAAAGAAGCTCGTGTTAAATGAGGAACAAGAGGTATTTGGAGAATTTGAGGTGCAAATGAACCTCAAACCAGAGGTCAAAGAGGGGCACATTAATATAGAGAGAAAATTGGAAATAGATGGTGAGCCAGTCCTGGAGTTGGAGCCACTGCTTAATGACAACATTCTTGGAGAGGAAGTGTCAAAAGTGGAAAAAATCTTTAAGCTAAGATCCTGTCATTAAACCTCTGCCAGAGAAGGAGATGCTTATGACCAAAAGGTGTATGTTTTAGATGAAGAACCAATCATGGAAGTGGAGCCTGAGATGAAGAAAGAGCCCTCTGTGAATCAAGAGGTTGAGCTTGATGTGACAAAACACAACAAGCAAGGTAACAAATAAATGAGGTATTATGCACATATATACTGCAACTCACTACAGTTTAAAGTACAGGTTCATGCTTAAAACAACATTCACATGGTCTATGTACAGATGATCCCTTCTAATATTCAGCTGAAGCAAACATGAGGCTTCACTGCCTGAGTTAGTTGCATATCTTCTTTCAATACCAAATGCTCTCCCAGTATTTTCCTGACCAATGTTTCCTTGGTTGAGCTGCAGTGGAGGGAGAGGTACTAAAAGAGGGAATGTGGTACTAAAATACTGTAACTTTGGAAGGTATCTACCTGCCCTTATTACCTGCTACTGAACGTAAAGAGTCATAATTGAAGAATCTTTACACTGGATTTTTAATCATGTTACAAAAGGATCTCCCCATGCGAATGGACAAGAGGAATGATTGTTCACAACAACAGTGTTACTGGTGTGAGCCTTTACTTTCATGAGCAGCAAGACGGAAACTGTAATTTCTACTTTTAGCCACAGGGCAGCGCTGTTATCCTGGTGTGGTACTAGAGGGGAAGTGTTACCAGTTCTTGAAATGACCAAAAAAGGCTGCAGATGATGAGGTACTTTTCAGTTTTCCACTGTAGAATATTTAAAACATTTAGGAACACACTGCTGGTAATGTGCCCAACCGCATTGTCATTCGCCATCCCTTGAAAGTTCTTCTGCCAGGAACGCTTCTCTGGCGACCACCCAGCCGCCATCACAAGCCAACAAATCCACAGAGAGGTGATGAATATGATGCTGATGCAAAACGTAGCATATACACACACCTGGATTGAAGGACTGTGATAATGGGAGGTGTGCATGTTCAGCCAGGGTGTGCTGAAAATTCATCTGTTGTGGAAAATAAAAAATAATTTCACTAATGACACACATTAGGTGGCAGGTTTCAATGATACATCTGTACCTGTCAGTGAATAAAATAAATGACTCCATCTGATTGCACCTTATTAAACTCCTTGTTACGTGTCAGACCAGTCGCTTTGTCTGGTTGCATGGATCTCAATGGGGCTATGCTGACTGGCTGTCAGCGGAGCCCAGTAACACAGCAGATTTGGACGACTGTGTGGAAAGTACTGGCATTTGGTATGAGCCAGTTTGCTGGTGTACAGCCATAAATCAGATGATTTTTTTTTTACTTTTATGTTTGATTGTTTGTATGTTTGTATGAATACTGAACCCTGTTGGTACAGGATTTCTGATGTGCTGCCTGTCTTTCAGGAAATGGGAAGTTCAGTGACTTCACATGTTGGGAACCTCAGGCTTTCATCTGCTCCTACTTGTTATGAGTGAATTTGGGTCTGTTCCACTCTGATTTCTTGTCTGATTTGATGTTGCACACACAGCTTATTGTTTTTTTCTGTTTGCTTAAAATCATGTCATGGAAATCAAATGAACTGACAACACATCACAATTTACAGGCTACTATTGTAAAATCCAGACTGCTGCACATGTACTTTATAGTCTTAGTTTTTTTTTTGGAGCAAGCTAATATCCTGTAAATAAAGAGAACATGGTTTGTTCTTGAGCTTGTGAGAAAAGTGTACAAAGTTGTCCTTAACTAAGTAACCTTATTATAATTGTGTACAATCATGATTAAAAAACATAAATCAGGTACACAGTTATGTATTTAAACACACTAAATAACAATTTAATGGGGTCTCAAAATAGCACACTTATTTTTAAGTTGCATTCATTGTTTGCACATTTTTCAGAACAATAAATAAAGTATATTTGAA